TTCGGAAATAAGTAGGTACATTTTAAGGTTTTAAAGTGAGTACTGTTGCTGAGAACTGTTGAGTTATGCAAATAAGGAGTGTCCACAACACTAAAAAAACGTCACACAATATTGTTTCGTAAATAACTAAAGGAAATGACTTCCACTTGTGGGAAACAACTTGCTAGTATTTGGTTCGGTACCCTTTCGACCAAATTATAGTTTACGTTGCCCGCTCACTGCATGTATCATATTCATGATACAGATGACTTCGAGATTTGACATTTCTGCGCGACTTCCCAGGGTGAAAACCTTCAGTTTTCCTTCAAAAAAAGAAGACTCTTACTCGCTGTTCGACAGAAATTCTTGTCATATGCACAATAATCTATAATGCCTTATGTTCGTTGCTACCTTGAACGTTAACCATGTGTGTCCTTTCAAATGCCGCACGCGTGAGTATGAGATAGAACAAATTCCGATTTACGCCATGTGTTTGCGTTGGGAAAAATTGAAAAGAAAAACAAAAGAGCTTAAATAAACCACAAAATAGCTCAAAAATAATCTTTGTATTACAATCTATTCACAGAGTCGAGGGAAAACACATTTAGACTGTGGAAAACCGCTGAAAAGTGACGTTTTATTTCTGAACTGAAATTCAGACAATCATGGACAAAAGTCTTGGGACAAATTTGCACTTTTGGCACTTTTGCGTACACGCCAGGCGCGAATACAACTTCACCTGCCTAACCTCGCCCCCACCCCCCATACAATGTTGAAAACTAGTACATGCAATTTCAGCTGATTTTCAACATTGTGTTGGGGGGGAGGGGGGGACAGCAACCCGTTTATAAAGGATATAGCAGCGTTTTCTCCATACTTCAGTTCTAAAACACAGATAATCCGTTACATTATGTAAGTGTCCCAAGGACTTTTGTCCACGATTGTAGCTCTGGTATAGGCAAGGGGTCCAAGGTCCCAGTGATACATCCCCACCCAGAAATTCCCAAAGTACCGCCACCCCCCACCCCTCCCCCCTCCCCCCGGAGTAATACTAGCTCATTGCATGTGCAGCATTAGTTACTTTAAAAATTGTGAAAATATAAAGGTTGTGTGCGCATTCATCCACTGGTAGCCCAGTAAAGAGAGGGTCAATAGATCAACAAGGTTACCAGCTGTTTAGCCCCCAAGTCGATCAGCCCCTAGCCAGTTAGCCCCCAAACTGGGGGTTATCAACTTGGGGCTAAACGACTGGATACTGATCAAAGAGCGGTCTTGTAACAAGTATGCTTGCCTGAAGTACTAGTCTAGTTCCCGCCTCGTGGGTCACATGACAGAGCTTGTCTGGTTGGCCATGCTGTAGTTTCGTTGTGCTGCTTAGTGAAATAAATAAGTTTGTTTTGCGGACTCTGTTGTCTATTGGTGTGTCCTCACAGGTCTGTAACACAACTAAATGACCTTTGATAGGCAAGACTTCAGGAATGTCAGTACAAAACACTAGGGAAGCTGGAACAAACCAACTACCCAAGTACGTAACAGGACTACCGCTGGCCAGTACTGGTGTAGGATGAATCCTAGGGTGGAGAAAATTAAAATAAAGAGATGAGAACTTAGTTATAAATGACAGCTCAACAGACCATTTGTAAAGGATAGGAAATAAATGTCTGTAGGCTGCAGTGGAGGCTGTCAGTTGCTCATCATAATATAGGAATAGTTTCTAATAATATTCTATTGTTCAAAAATTAATTTGGGTATTCTGTTTTACAGTTTCTTATGGCAGAAAAACCAGAGGATTTAAATCTTCCTAATGCAGTGATTTCACGCCTGGCCAAGGAAGCAGTAAGATTTTTTAACTTGGAATTTTTAGAGGCAGAAATTGCACTTAAATAATTTTAATTTGTCAGAATGTGCACATTAAAAATAATGTCTTATTCAGTTGAAAGTTGCCTTATGTGCTGAAAAGGAAACCACTTTAAAGCTGGATTAAATTTATTTAATAAGCCATTTTCTGTGAAGTATAAACTTTCCTTCAAGGAAACCTCAAATTATTTAATTTTCTATTGGAGGGTAGAAAAACTCTTAAAGGGGGATTTATTTTACCGAGAATGAAAGAGGTGGAAGCTCTTAAAATAGAATTTAGTTACAAAGAAAGAAATAGGTATGGTCAGTAAAATAGTGAAGATTGAGACACTCTAAAATTACAAAACTGAATAGTATTGGCTTCAGAAATTCCTTTCTTTGAAATATTCACTTGTGAATTATTAATTTAAGGTATATCATTGCATAGGTTATTAGAGATTGCTAAATTTCTTAGTTTACTAGCAAATGCCTCTCTTTGGTTACAGCTTCCTGAAAATGTCAACATTTCCAAAGAAGCTAGAACTGCCATTGGAAAGGCTGCCAGTGTATTTGTTCTGTATGCAACATCATGGTATGTATTCTACTACTGAACTTCTCCCAGCCTCCATGATTACACATCTGTACACTGTAAGAAAGCGTACACTAAAAGCTGTACCCAATTCTAAATATGTGAATCTTAATAGAAACACAGAACTTGGATCTATTGATGTCCATAATGGAATGATGAAAGAAAATAATTTTACTTTTTGACAAATGTATCCAATTAAACATGTGATAACTTGGATCTGTTGATGTCCATAATGGAATGATGAAAGAAAATAATTTTACCTTTTGCCAAATGTATCCAATTAAACATGTGATTTTCCTTATTTCTCTGCATTAAGTTTTCTGAAAAAATGCACATTTTTCCATATTGCTAGAATTTATGTTTCTATTACTTGTTGGAAACACAGAAAATGGTTTCTCTCTCTTAAGCAAGCTTGTTAGTGATTGTCTCACCTTTAATTCAACACTTCTTGTCTGTTTTGTTGAAGTGCCAACAACTTTGCACAAAAGCAGAAGAGGAAAACTCTGACAGCACCTGACGTATTTGAAGCTTTAGAGGAAATGGATTTTGAGCAGTTCATAAAACCTCTAAAAGAAAGTCTGGAATGTGAGTACTGAAACTCTGGAATGTGCGTACGCCCTGCCTATGGATAAAATTAATGCAGTTACGCTAAAGAGGTGCAGGGTAAAGAGGCATGGTTAGAAAATGTAGTGAAATTCAAATTGTACTGTGGAGTTTGGGATGACTCCATTACACTTAATATTCTGACTAGCACCCTAGTTTCATTTTTGTTGCCCCTGATATTGGTGGCACCTGAATGTCAGCTGCCGCTCTTGTTGCTACTCAGGAGTGTATTAAATTCTTCTTAATCTATTTGTTTTTCAATGTTTTCAAGTATTCAGAAAGGAACAGAAAGGCAAGAAAGAGGCAGCAGCAGAAACAAAGAGAAAGAAAAGTGACACTGCAAGTGAACCAGAACCTGAGTCCAAACGCCAAAAAACAGAATCTGACAACAAAGACAAATCGAAAGAAAATGAAAACAAAGAAGCTGATAAAGAAAAATAAAAATGGTAAAGATCCATAGGTAGTATGGATATTTTAACATCAAACATTTTACTTCAGAAAAGAATGACTTGCATTATATTTAATAAGTACATTGTTGAGCCATCAAAGCTTCAGCATTGCATATCACAAGGATCTTGCTGGAAGAATTGACTATGATTCATAGAAACCAAGAGGGATCGGGGTGCAAAGAAAACCAATTTTGAAGCTTGCCCTTCAGGAAAATTGTAACAGTGCTGTGATGTACTAGCCTGAAAGTCATTCTCACTAGCCACCAAAAATTCCATCTCTTATAGTTCCAGTTCTTCTGTAATTTGAATTTCCTCTAACATTTTTCCAAGGAACTTCACTTGCCTGTCGGGCAAGTACAGGACAGAATCCACCAGCCTGGCTGCAAAACCCACTAGCCCAGTGGGCTATTGGAGATGACTTTCTTTGCATGCAAGGAAGTAGTCAAAATAATATAAACACCATAAAGGACAGTCAGGGTGCAAAGCTGTATGTTACGAGGATGTCGTTTTCACTAACCCGCCCCCTCCCTGCACCCCTAAAACAACATCCCCACTAGCACAATTGATCTTTCTTTGCACGCTTGATATAAGTAATGTGATAACAACTGATTTTGGGCAGGCGAAGAGCCACCCTGTGGATATACTGCCCGAAATGCCATTATTATTATTATTATTATTATTATTATTATTATTATTATAACTGATCCACCTAGATTAGCCCAATGCTATCAGCGGAGCAGTTTTACATTTGTATTAATTTCCAAATGCAACTGAAATAAAGTGTGTAACCTCAGTATTCCAAAAGCTATAATTTAAGGTATTTTTAAGCAAAAAAAGAATCGTCCATTTGAAGGCAACATACATGCAATTGTTTTCTATTAAGATTCCTCATTGAATGCACTGTGTCTAGTAACAGGTGCTAGCATACATGTACAAGAGATGAAGCGAGGTCCGAAGCTAACTTTCAGCCAATTATGACCAAGCGAAGGTCTTAATGTTTAGTGTGGCACTGTTTAAGAATTGCACAAATTTACTTTCTCTTTAGAGGAATTAGCATTTGCATTTATAATGAATCTGAAAGAAATGTGTGTTCATGGGTATAATGGTAAAACTACGGTTATATGGAATTAATTGGTGTCAACTTTATTTATGGTCAAATTCTTTGAAATAAACTTTTTTTCAAACATATTTGTACTTGTAAATGGCTGCAAATGAATAGCTGATCCTAAAACAAGGCACAGACTTTGATTTAGCAGTACAGTTGAACCCTGTACTCATTAGAGATGGCAGGATTTCAAGATAGCCAATAGTTAACAACTGAAAAGTTTGTACCGGTATATCCAAGGGAAATTGTTCAAGATCTACTGTCAGTTGTTGATTCTTTGAACAAGGATGCATGCAGGATACTCATCAAGTCTTATTACCATGTGTGATTGAAAAAAAAAAACCTTTCAGAGTCAGGTCCTTTGAAGGCGATGAGTTTTTGCTGCTAACTTGCTTTAAATACTTACGTGTTGTATAAAGGTGGCTTCTTAGTGTACATGTAAATTACAGTTCATGAAGTTGTGTTCTAATCAATAAAATGTTCTGATAATACTTTCATGTGTTGTATGGTTTAATATGCTCTCCCAGCTGTAATGACCACAATCTGATTTTTACCGTAACTTATTATGCTTTGCTCTACTTCTTTATAATTAGTAGGCAGGAATTATAAGGTGGTCACGAGAAGCTACATTTTATTGTGAATAAGCACTTATTTCAGCCTCCTCAACCGTGAATGCTTACAGCACTTCTGGAATGTTTATTGTTACTTTCAAGCAGTAACCTGCATGCAGATGTGTCCTATTAACCTCTTACACATGCAGATAATATGACTTGGGTTGACAAATGTTACTTACAAAATCATGGGTCTTGGAAACTTGAGCTGATGTCAAAATCTAAAGCATTTGTGATGAGTCACAAAACCTTGATTTTTTGTTTCTCTCCATTTTGCATTCTAAAATTGTTCCAATTTTGATCTTAGATTTCAAAAATGGGTTTTGGTAGCACAGCAAGTTGTGAATCTCACTATCCAAAACACCCATATGCTGTCTACATGCAGGTTACCATTGTTGGTAATCTAAAACCAAATGTTGGAACATGCCGTCAAAGGCGGCTCATCTAAAAGCTTTGTTACGGACCGTATAAAATAAGGTATGATGACATTTTCGGCCCAAATAAATCCAAAACTCTAAGTTTTCAAAACGTCAACCACTAGAGCAGGTCCAGGAAAATAATGTTTGAAATACTCAATTCATCGAGTTAAAACAAAAATCACAACCATGAAGGAGGTTTGGATACCTGGTCTTAATATTAAGATTTGGACGATTTTACTTCTCTGTTTACCCCTTACTTTTTTTGGGGGTTGAGTAGATTTATCAAACACTCAAGATAGTGTTATCATCAGTTATCCAAACACCTCGAATTTTGTCCAAAATACTCTGCTGCTTGTCTTATTTTCAACTCCCTTATTGGTGTTTGGATATCCTGGTGAAACAATGTCTCTTATGTTTGATATGTTACATCAAAACTGATGGAAACAAACTTCCTGAATATCACTAGACGCTTGCAACTTTAAGGGTGTTTTTTTGGTTTCATCTTGCCCTGATTTGATAGGTTGCATGAAAAAAAAATCTAGAAACATTTACTGGACAGTATAGTTTTCAGCTGAATAAAATGTAGGTTTTGCTACCATGACTTGGAGGAATAGACGTCTAGTATTTACTAGAGATGCACATTGTTACATGATATACTTTTTAAGTAGAAGATTATAACTGTTTAGTTGCTACTACCTAAAGTTACTTTCAGCAGGTTACAGTACTTATGGGATGTTCTGAGAAAAAAAAAATTATTGCTAACGATAGTCAATCTGATTCTGGTACATTACATGACTGCAACTCGCCATTCCTTCATGTACATACTATGTTCGAGTCAAGTTTGCTGATTAAAGATCTCATTCAAGTTATTGAATGACAAATTATTAGTCTAGAATTTACATATCTATGTGGTTCTTGAACTTGTTGACTTGCTTTATTGTGTCCTGAGAATCAAATGAATACCAGAGTCTGTAAACACTGGTTCACTTAATTCACCAATCTTTAAGGCAAACCTGTACAGAAAAAAGAGTAGAAATAACAAGCATGTTTATGAAGACAGTAAACATGTATATGTATTATTTTATTCATTCAGCGTAATTAAAAAAAGGTTTTGTATTAGCTGCCAACAAAAGAGAATAATGCATGTTCATTATTTGGAAAAAAATATTTAGTGTCCATGGCACTTCTTAAATTTTTGTAGCTCAATGGTAGTGTGTATTGGAACATTCAATGGACTTAAGGGGTGATTTGGACAAAAAAATGCCTCCAATTAAGGTGTTCTTTTTTGAAGGAAGGTTTGAAGGTGGCTCTCCTGAATAGTAACCCATTAATCAATTTATGAGATACCCATAACAACTTCCTCTAGACTGCCAATTTTTTTATTTTACGATAACGGCAGAAATTCTTGCACTCTCATTGGCTAATTTTCATTGTCAATCAGTGGACAGACACATGAATTTTTTAATTTATTTGATATGTCAATGAATGAGAGTGGACAATTTGACAATTTGTTATTGTAAAAAACAAATTGACATCAGTCTGCAGATCCACTCGGCTATCACTTTGTGGATCCCCAGCTACTTGGACAACGTTTTAATGAAATTCATGATCAATAACAGGACAGATGCATGAAAAACTGACGTCAATTTATTAAACATATTGAGTCATTCCATGCTGTCAGCTCTGTGGATTGTGGATATAAACAACTCCTACTGACCAGTACAAAACTCTTTGGTTGTGGATTATAAGGATTAAAATTGGCTATAATTTCCTGTTTTGTGCACGTCCCAATTAATTTTAAAACAATTACAAAAAGTTGTCTACACTGAGGTGGATCAGGAAAGAGGATAATTCTCTAATAGTTACTGCGCTTCCATTGATGTTAATTTATCAATATGTATACAGGCCCTTATTACTCACGTTGCTTCCTCAAATGGTCCTGAAAAGAGAAAATACTACTGTCAGCTTCTAAGCAGCCCTCAGATACTTACTCAACTATCACTCACTGGGTAAGGTTATTTTTTCTAGGAGTCTGCACTATTATTGTACATGTATTTTACATTAAAAATATCAATACCATCTCTTTTGTGACTGGGTGCGACTATAACATGAGGCCTCCAATGAATAAATTACCTAGCATTAAAAATTACTCATGACAATCCCTTTCCATACATTGCACTTTGTATGCCCTTTGCTCTGCAGGCTTTAAGAGGGCTTTGAATATCTAGTTTTTAACACGCATTGCATGTCTATGTTACTAGATAACAGCATTGTAGACACTAATTTATATGCCCAGGATGCATACCATAAAATCCCATGTTAAAACCCTTCAATTTGCTGACAAAGATATTATTAGGGATATAAGCCCCCCAGATATAACCCCCCAACCCCCCGATATAAGCCCATCAAATGTATAAGTACGTTCTTTTGAGTTTCTTTACAAACGTCAAAATTTTTAATCTTAAGTTATAGACTAATAGGGTAATAATAAGGTAATAGCTCTAAATGTAATGGTATGTTAGCTTTAATTCGTTTCTCAGATATGTTTTATCTCGTCGTTCCGAAACATTTTTTTTACTCCACTTATATACCTCCTGCCCACCCCTGGATATAAGCCTCCCCGCTGTTTATAAGCCCACCCAAACCCCTGATGAAGTTATTTAAGCCCAGGGCTTAAACACAGGGTTTTACAGCATATTGTGGAATTATAACTTAGTTGTAATCAAAAATAGTTATAGTATGAGGCATCTGATGCATTGACACAATTCATTACTTTGCATCTGTCCTGGTCCAAAAAATCCCAAATCTCCTTTATTCTTAGCACTACTACAATCACTTTCTGTGCTTGCCAGATCCTCAAGGGTGATTTCTCCTGACTCAATACGTCCGCGATAACCTGCAACATACAGTAAAGAAAACTTAAATCTAAGATCATTCCCAAGAAAAGAGCTATCATAGTCAAATAGACAGGTCAAAGCTATTTTTCCATGCCCTATTCTGATTTGCATGCTTACTTTAATAATCACAAAATTCCTCTTTTAGACAAGCCTTTAATGACGTATTAAACTTCAGGGCTCTTCCAGAAAGGACAATTACTTTATTATTTATATTCTTGTCTGGTAGATCAGACTGAGTTCATAATGTTGAATGCCAAACTTAATACAAAACCAACTTTGAAACAGTTCCGCCCCTGCGAAAGAAAAAACTCTGTCATGGAAATGCCTGTTCAGACAAAGAACTAGAAGATTTTTTTTTTTTTCGGTAGACGTATGTTATACTAGTACACCCTGACCCATGGCTGTTCAGATAGACCTTTTTCACCAACAAACAACTAGACCTTCTCACTTGCATGAAAACCTCAACAAATTTGACATTACACCAAGTACAAATATGTCAGGGAATATGTAAAAACCAACTTTAACTATTTGCAAGGTTCTTTATAAGCAAGTTTGATATTAGGATGATTGGAAAAAAATTGGTACATTAGATAACTTTCACTTCAGAATGCTTCAGTTATTAGTATTTCTGCAGTGGTTTTGAACAGTTTGAAATGAGCAAAGCAAAAATTGTTATGTTTGCCATTTGAGAACACGTTGAGCCAGACTGAACACTGCATCTTCAAAGCAAAGAACTTTGCTGTACACATTTGCTGAGAGTATCAAATGTTATTTCTCCATTCAAACCTATGCAAGCACGTTTCTAAGAAGGGCCCATCCTTGTTAGTTCCAATTCATTTGTCAGGGGGGTGGGGCACGTGGCATTATCCATGAGAAGCTTTAATCACGCATCAGTAGCTCAACACTAACATGAACACGAAAATTGTGCTTCATTTTATAATACCTTTAATTATTTCTAAAGCTTCATCTCGAGACCGTGTTATCTTGTCTTGCTTCCAAGACGACGGCCTCCTTGACTCGGTGTGTTTCACCAATAAATGCGACGCGCGAACCTTGTCGCTTTCACCTTCACTAGGCTTGTCCCATCGACTTTCGTTTGTTCGTCTGTTGAAGTAATAAGTCTTCCCCGTGGATTTTGATACCTTCTCTTCCCAACCAGGAGGCAATCCGCTCATTGTTTCAGGAAAGGACTAAAGAAATGTCAAACTATTTCTTCGTATAAATTTCGCTCCAAAATGTTAGCTATGTAACCGAGCAAATTCCAAATTGAGACAGCTGCGCATGTTAGTGTGCTATATACGCTGAGAAGTGTTGCTACTGCAGGCTCAGTATATTCGTAATGGCGACGATTTAACTCGAAGTGACGCTCGAAGTAGGCTCGAAAGACAGCTCGACGCGGTGGATTTGTAGAAGTTAACTCCATTATTTTGCAACAAACACAGAATCAGGAAATAGTTATTATCTGCGGATTCAAAATGCCAGTGACATCTACGAACCTGATCATTGTGAGTCTCTTCTAAAGATGTTTACATGCGTGTATAATGCTCACATGTTTGGCTTATTGAACACAAAGCTTCAGTTTTTAGATCTTTACAAATTAATTTTTGATCCTCTGGCATAGGCTAGCTATGTACCAATAGATTAAAACTTAGCAGAATACTCCACTTCCTCTTCCCATTCCTCTCCATGTACCAGAGCTCTCTTCAAAATTAGAATTCCCCATATTCTAGTTTTTATTCAGTCAGGAAATTCTCAAGGGACCATAAAATGTATTGCCTGATTTTCCTGTAAATTTGTTTCCCAACTATGATGGGTGCATTCTTAGACTGTGATTTCCTTTGGTGATGATCATTCGAAACTAATCAGATGACGGTCTGGGATATTCTCTAGCATGACATTTCCACATACAGCCTAGCTTACGATGAAATTACAAATCATGACAAACGCAAGCGAATGTAGTTGCAGTTGCAATGGAAATGCCCTTGCCTAACAATTAATTTTTAATTTGACCGTCAAATTTTAGGAAGAAGAAGATCTCCCCTATGAAGAGGAAATAATTCGCAGTCCTTATTCTGTGAAATTTTGGATGAGATATATAGAGCACAAGGCTAAAAAAGGCTCCAATACAGCATTGAATCTACTCTATGAACGTGCTCTCAAGGAACTACCTGGAAGGTAATTGAGTGTAGAATTCTCCAAGCTGTATAGTTAGAAATTCATTGCAGATTCCTTTCAATTTAACAGAACATACAGTTAAACCCTGCTATTTTGAAATAGCTGATAGTAAATGACTTAAGGGGAAATCCAGAGGAAATTGTTTTCACGTAGAAAATAGCAAGGAATTTAAAATAACCAAGTTTGTTTACGGCAAACTTGGCATTATCAACCTATTTGCTGTAATATGTATACAAAAGATTCCAATGAAATCGTCATCATGCACAGCAGAGGTTCCCACTCACCCGAATGCTGCGGTGTCAAAAACTGCTATCATGACAGTCCAGTCCATCTTGTTATTGGCCTTGGTTCAAAGTGAAGCTCGACCAATGTGCAGTGCATTCTAGTCTGCTGAAAGCGAGGCTCTATCACAGCAATTATCAATGGCTGCTAGACTGTTTGGATTGAAAGCTAATTACTCATAAAGGTCTCTTTTTTTCTTGTTGGAGTTGAAACACAGTTGTTGTAATGATAAACATTTGCAGCTTTGCTCAATTTGCTATTTGTTATATTCATTGAGAACATACATGCACAATGCTGTTTCAGTTACAAGATTTGGTATCTGTATCTTAAAGAAAGAAGAAAGCAAGTGAGAGGAAGGTCAGTTAATAAGTGTATGGTACTGAACTTGTGCAAAATTCATATTCATAGTGAGACCTACATACCTCTTTATCTTCTGGATAGTGTTGGCTCAGGTTCAGTTGTGTATATTTTGAAGTTCAACTTACATCTCCAATTGATGAGCTTGGGAAAGGTGCCAAAGGGGTGGTGGCACCAGGTGAGATTCAAGCATCAAACATCCAAGTATCCATGGCAACCCTAAGAGCAGCAACCACCAGGTGCCATTGCATTGACAGAATAAGTTGAAATACTTACCAACCCAGATACATACTGTACTTACCATAATCAGCTATAGTGGGGGTTCAAGAAAGAGAAAAACATGCCACAAGCACAATGTATCAAAGCTCAAAGAAACCACTGCACCTCCTCACAGATCTGTAATGCAAAACACCTAAGTTCTGCAAAACCCTGTGTGAGACCCCAAGGAGCATGACTGCCCTAAAATGCCACTGACCAGCATTGGCTCCAGTCTAACTTAAGCAAATTACATTTAGCCACATGAAAAGCTGCAAGGTATCCCAGGTAAAATTATTTACATCTAGTAAGTCGTTATTCAAGTAATAACAATCTGTTTGAAATTGATCAATATTTACAATATTTTTTTCCCCAGGCCGATAACAGACCCTGCATATGAGGACATTAACAATGCTTTTGAAAGATCTCTTGTCTTCATGCACAAGGTATAAACTAGTACTTGAATCATGTTTACTTATTGTTTTAAAGACAAGTCATAAAAGCTTGGTTTTAGTAGCCATACAGTTCTGTAAGGTTGTAGTGTACTCCTTTGATGTACAAAACACATGCACATGTAAAAGTTTCAAACTGGTAAAAGCATGGTGGGTAGACCTGTTAACTTTTTGATGGCATAATGGTACCCTAACCCTTTGGAGCCCAGTGTCCGATATACTGGACAGCAGAGCAGCCTGCACTTCCTTTAACCAGCAGTCTGTCCCTTAGTCATTACCAGTTCCCAAACAAAACACACTTGGAGACGCCATTTCAGTTTGATTAGAGTTGTTTTCATCGAGTTTTTTCGCAAATTTTTGCTTCTGTCAACAAGACACAATTTAAAGACCACTTTTAAACAGGAGCAGGAGGTCTGTGAGGTATAGCGCTAGAGAAATACTTGATTATTTGCATGGAAACTTCGCTACTCTAGACAATGGTTTCGAATCTGACATCGAAGGATTTTAAAGTGACAATGACAATGATTTAACACACAAATGCCGCCTAAAGAGCCATGTTTATTTGAGCATTGTCATTGTCGAGGATGAAGAAGCAGAGGAGCCAGATATTTGCGATCCAAGAGTAACAGGGAAGCCAAATAATTATTCTTTCAATGGTTCCGAGTGGACAGAACATTTAAGTAACCCAGCTCAAGTTCACGAATGATGAGATTCAGTAACATCTGTTAAGACTATAGTAAGTGATTTGTCACACAAGTACCCAGTTTTGTGAAATCAGGTATACAGGAAGTCTTAATTACTGTTGAGTGAATATGTCAAGTGAGGTAGTAATGTTATTCTATCATTCTGAGTAGTTATCGGAATTTTCCTTTTCATTTTTAGGCCCTCGTGGTTAATAACTTTTTCTATTTTGAGTATGGCATGACACAATTGTTAATAATTTAACTCTTATAATGGTTTCATGTTACGTCAAACACCTTACTAATTGCACTCAAAATAAAATGTAATTATCAAGGAGCGTTATACTTTGTGCAGAACCTGATTATGTTAAAAGGTAAAAACTTATGATGTTTTAAATTATCTGGGTCTAAATTTTCTGAAATCCTTAAAAATTAATTTGGGCTCCAAAGGGTTAAGGTCTCTTCAAACATTTTCTCTGAAAGTGCAGTACTTTTTCACAAAAACAGGCATGTCACACAGGGATTACCGTCACTGCAACATGCCCATGTTTCATTCCCTTGAACACGTACCCTAATATGTACCAACCTGCATGTTAAAGTAAATTAAATACATCAGACACTTATTATCTTCGGGAGAGAGAACACTGATTCCTTCAGGGTGTGGAAACCTTATAATGACATCTCAACTGGTAATTTTCTTGGCACATTTTTCTAGATGCCAAGGATCTGGATAGATTATTGTCAGTTTCTAGTGGACCAGTGTAAGGTGACGAGATCACGGCGCACATTTGACCGAGCATTGAGAGCTCTGCCTATCACTCAGCACCGACGTATCTGGCCTATTTATCTTAAGTTTGTTCGTAAATACCATATTCCTGAGACTGCTGTAAGAGTCTACAGAAGATATTTGAAGGTTGGTGCAGATATTTTTAAAATTTTTTGTTCAAGAATTCTGTAGTTGATCTACATAGCCTTAAGTAAAAAACCTTTTTGGAGTGTGGCGTTCAATAGAATAATTGCCAGTTAGTTCCTGGGTGGAAGATGGTTTAAATTTACCTTTTAATTATTTTTGATTTCCTACCAGTTAGAGCCTGAAAACACGGAGGATTATATTGATTATCTCAAGTCTGTAGGATGGTTGGATGAAGCAGCAACTCGTCTGGCTTTCATTGTCAACAAGGTATTCGCATTCTGCTACTTTTAGTGCATAATAATATTATATAAAATAATGTAACAAAAACCTTGCTGTTAGATTATAGTTCAAAGGTACATGCTAACATTTTATTAAAATTATAAAATTATCAGTAATTTTGAAAACAGTACGTAAAATTATACAGTTGAATCCTGCTATTTCGAACTCTCAGGGGAAATGAAAAGCTGTCCAAAAATTATAGCAGAAGATTGAAATTGGCAATTATAGTGTATGACTGGGGAGAAAATCCAAAGGAAATAGTTTTGAGTTTGAAATAACGGAAAATTTGAAGTTTAATTGAGTTTGAATCAGTGGGGTCCAACTGTGGTTCTTTTTTTTTGGTACATGTTTAGTAATTCAATTTAACAGTAATTATTAAAATTAATGATGTATTTAATTTGTTATTTAGTGTGCAATCTGTAGGAGATAGATGCATGCTTCTTGTACAACTCTTGGAACAAAAGTCAAGCAAAAATACTAAGGCTGACCTGAAAACTTATTATTAATGCTTTCCCTTGCAGGAGAAATTTGTATCCAAGGAAGGGAAATCAAATCATCAGGTAAAGTTAAAAGTTTATTGCTGACCAGTTAGATAATATTTAAGAATCCGAAATCCTTGACTCAAAACACAAAGAATAATCCCAGATATATCGTAGACTGAGGTGAACCTAAGTGTTGTTGTAGCACAGTACACAGAATGAAGGTGTATACATGTAGCATGTGTGATACAACTTGTACAAAGGTTTTCTGTTACCGAAGCAACATGGAGTGGCTTGGGTTAAGTCTACAAAATGTTTGATAGAATTATTGAGGAACAATTATTATAAATAATAATATTGTGGAGCTATGGATTGACCTGTACCAACTTTGTAATTTAACAAACCGGCTTTCAGCCCACACTATGTGACAATTTTCATGGTCAGAGTCCACGGATGGTTTTTGTGTTTTTCACTTAAACTGACTCATAATAACAAATTAGTCAACTACTGTACATAACATTGTTAGTATTTATGTAGACTTATTAATATCTTTCATCTTCAGCTTTGGCAAGAACTTTGTGACCTCATTTCCAAGAATCCTGATAAGGTATCAGTGTTTATTTTTTTCACAGTTAATTTAACCTTTGAAATAATTAAGGACCGATGGGAATGAAGATAGCTTTCATCTTGTGTTATAGTCTGTGAATAAACTAATTAAATATAACTACAATAATATTTACACCTTATTCTGTAGAAGACACCTGTATGTGGTAACCAATTAGTTAAGAAAAAATGGCAACTATAATCTGTGTTTAGAATGTAGACTGCTTTGATTATTAAAACACCTACTGTACATGGTGTTAATAATCATGAATAATTTTTTATTCTGAATAGTAGAAAACTTTTTGCTCATCCTTGATTTGTTATCTTTGAAAAAAAAAAATGAGATTCACTTCAGAATACATGATATATATCTTGACTAGTAACAACTGTTTGACTGTGAAATTGAGACCACTATCTGTTCTTGTTTAAGATCAAGAGTCTAAAAGTTGCTGACATTATCCGAGGAGGTTTACGCCGATTTTCTGACAGTTTAGGACAACTATGGAATTCACTTGCTGACTTTTTCATAAGAAGTGGACACTTTGAAAAGGTCAGACACTTGTTTATACCTATATGTGTACAGTCGAGTATACATCACTGTGATTTTAGGGCATAAAAGAAATGAATTAGCTTGACTACAAATAATTGACTAGCCCCAGGCTATCAGACAGGACTTTTTTGCACATTTATTTTTTTGTGAGTACTACCAGGGACATTGTGTTGTGTTCTTGGGTGAGACACTTTGCTCTCGCAGTGCCTCTCGCCACCCAGGTGTATGTATGGGTACTGGCTGGCTTAATGCTGGGGGGAAACCCTGTGATGTACTGGCATCTCATCCAGGGTGGAGTACTTAGAAATACTCCTAGTCACTTCGTACTGCAGAAACTGAAGGTAAGTGTTGGCCTGATGGGGCCACTTGGGTCATGGGCAGACTTTACCATTAGTGAACAGCAGGGGTGGGGACTTGCGTTGTGAATACTGTGTCCAAGCTTTATGTTGCATTCAGCACTATCTGAGATGGTTATATCACTAGTTGGAAGTTACCAACTAACTTGACTTTGTTGTTTTCCTGTCTTTCAGGCAAGAGATGTTTATGAAGAAGCCATTCAAACTGTTATGACAGTGAGAGACTTTGGGCAGGTAAATGTGGGTCTGTTGACATCAAAAGCCAGTAGTCCTCTTCTCTGCTGGTCAGCAGCTTTGTGGTTGAGTACTACTACCTTATTTACCTCGTCACAACAGCATACCTAGCCCTTAGAAAGAAAAGACAGGATCAGGAAGTTGGATGTTCTGATGCATGTATATGTGTCTGTTTGTATGGCATAGTCCTGCGAGAGTAGTGTAGTCAGGCAAAAGCATCAACTGTCTTCTTGCTTTTTTAGAGTGGTCTTGAAATTGGTTTGATGGACAGACTGGTGAATTAATTCACTGACAGGTAATGACTGATGGATGGACATAATGAAAAACAAACTGACTGAGTGTCAGACATACAGTTGTCAATGTAGTGACTGAACAGTAGGCTGCTTGTTAATTTGTTTTGTTTGTTTTTTTCAGGTGTTTGATGCTTATGCACAATTTGAGGAAAGCATGATTAGTGCTAAGATGGAAACAACTTCAGAGATGGGACCTAGTGAAGAAGGTATACTTGTACTACAGCCTTCCTTTGAAATTAATCAAAATTCATATGTGTCATTGTTGAACTTGTTGTGTACAAGGAATGCCAGCTTGGTGACCTGTGCCATTCCTTGCTTTTGTTCATATGCTGTGTCTCCCTTTTCTGTCAAACTTCCACTCCAGGCTGCAACTCCATTTTCACGTTCTCATACAACAAGAAATCTTGTTGCCCAGTCCCTATTGGCATTCCCCTGTTGTGTAACCATCAGATCTAAATAATATTAATGCCAAGTTTATTTGATTTCAGTTTAGTCTTTGTTCAGGTTTTAATGGCTAGCGCTAGTTGATTTTTTTCATGATGATATTGATTCTCATGCCCGCATTTGTCTTTAGATGACATTGATTTAGAGCTCAGAATGGCAAGATTTGAACATTTAATGGACAGAAGACCTCTTCTGCTTAGCAGGTAATCATCACAGAGTTGATCAAGTTGTTTTAATTTTCTAATTTAAATTACTTTTAATTATAGCCTGCATAGCAGGTGTAAAACAGGGGGAGGGGGTGAAAGAACGGGGTTGGAAGTAGAGGGGAGTGGGAGAGAAGTTCTGTCCCTTCTTCCTCGCTTGTTTCACCTCCCCAACCACTTCCCTGTCTACCCCTGCTATGCAGGCTTTGTTATTTGCCGATGCTGACACTTGGATTTATCACTGGTAACAGATGTTGGTGTACTTCATGTACTGTCTTGAACTCATAAACCTTGATATCCTCTTGAATTCTTTTCTATGCATAATTTGATTTCATGTATTGCCTGTTTTCTTTGTAGTGTCCTCCTACGTCAAAATCCTCACAACGTCCATGAATGGCATAAAAGAGTCAAACTCTATGAAGGTAAACCCAAAGAAATCATCAACACGTACACAGAAGCTGTGCAGACAGTGGATGCCAAGCTAGCATCAGGCAAACCTCACACCTTGTGGGTGGAGTTTGCCAAGTTTTATGAACAGCACGGTCAACTTGCCGAGGCACGGGTCATATTTGACAAAGCTACCAAAGTGAATTACCGTAAAGTGGATGACCTGGCTAGCGTGTGGTGTGAGTTTAGCGAGATGGAGATCAGACACGAGTAAGTAGAGAGTCATGGTGTCTCTTTTGTCTCATGCAGTCAATCCTCAGGACAAACTGAATACAGTTAGGTACTTGCTAAGTAGACATTGTGTGTGATGCCTATTTGTCTTTACCAAGTTAAGAAAAATGATGAAACAACGTGGAACAGTGTGTACTCTTTGGTCGAAAGTGGCATTTACTAAATCAGTTGAATGAGTATTTAGATAAATTTTATTGAACTTTTATGTGAGCTTATATTGTGGACTTTATGGTGTACTTTATATAATACAGTTCAAATAAAAAGCAGTTTAGAGAGCTTTCTTCCCATATCTCGGGGTTTTTTAGTGCTTTCAGGTGAGGCTGATTACATTTTCGTGGTGCCCAGTTTTTCAATGCTATACATTAAGCCTTCTTTATCTTGAGAGATGTTCTTCTTACTAAGACCAATAGCGTTAGCTTTATTACTTTCACATGACTACTACATGTTGGTTGTTGATCTGCCTTTTTAATTTCATTTTCATTTTCTTGTAGAAACTACCAACAAGCTCTTGATCTTATGAGAAGAGCTACAGCCATGCCGTCAACTAAAACAGACTACTATGATGAGGTGAGCCCGTGGAATGTGACAAGTGAAATTCTTTATAGCTGTATTTATTTGTTGTGCTTTTTCTTCAGAGTGAAACAGTTCAGAGACGTGTTTACAAGTCGTTGAAGCTTTGGTCCATGTATGCTGACTTGGAGGAGAGCCTGGGAACATTCCAGGTAACCATGTGTGTTTTATACTTTAGTATTTTCTGTAACGTGATATTTAAAAATAGCATGTTACAGAAAATACTAAAGTACAAAACACACATGTACAAGTAGGGTCAGGAGTGTAGGGGTTTAAGGTAGTTTTAAGGCAGTTGTAGCCTGTTCCGGGCGTTAAGTTAGTTGAAGCGCAGAACGAAAAACGGCGACTAACTGAGAATTAGGGAGTTGTATTAAATGCTCAGCTTTGTACAATACTCCTGCTAACTCTGTAAGTTTACAGTGAGAAAGTAAATCAAGAAAATTTGACTCTCAAGGCCTGAAAGTCTCGATTAGAAAACTTGCTATGTTTTATCGCAGCTCTTTGGAAATGTACGTCTTTTAAGTAACTGGTCTGCCCATAGAAGTTTATTTTTTTTTGCAAAAAGTTACTTTTGGTGCAGAGTGCTCTATTGTTTAGGGGGCTAATGTTCGGTCAGGCACTCCGTTCTCGAGTTCAGATGCACGCTTTTTTAATTTTTTTTGTAATGAGTGATACCACACTCTCGTTTTGGCCGGGGATAGCAGCTATATTTCAGGTAACGTCAGTTCTCCTTTTTTTTGTTGCAAAGAACGCTACTGTGGCTTCGTATCTTCTGGATTCTTCCATAGCTCGATTCAAGAAATGTCTTCTGTTGTGTGTTTGCCAGGGTTCAAATAAAGAATGGAAACATATTGCTTTTCACCTTAGCAGCTTGTTTGTTTCCTCTTCTATGAAACAGAGCCAAAAGTTCATATTCAGCGGAAACTTTCCTGCGTTAGTTACACGTAAAACTAGTAAATTTGTGACAAAAGAAACTTCGTTATTATTGCGGCAGACTCCGTGGCACTTACTGAAACCGCCAATTAAAGGTGCGTTCCTTTGGGGTGATCCGGATCCGGATCAGTGATCCAAGATCACTCGGATCATGGTGCATCAAAGGAACCGACGAATCCACTCTGGTCACGGATTCATCGGTTCCTTCGATACCCCATGATCCGAGTGATCTTGGATCACTGATCCTGATCCAGATCATCCCAAGGAACGCACCCTAATTTTATCAGTCGATGAAGTGACTCGCTCACCGATGTGGGATATAATTTCGGTCAAGTAAAGATCTCTTCCTTCAATACTTCTTGTTGAAGCGCTCCTCAGTTGTATTACTCGATAGCATTGTGTATTAGTTTGACATGGTTTTATTGTTAACACCAAAGCTGGCAACAGAATAAGAACGCACTGTTCTGTGACTCGACGTGACTATTTGATGATTAGGTTAGTTTTTGTTTATCGGTGAAATGAAAATTTACGTTTTAAATACAACAAAATCGTTCCTCTTCGACTTTCCAGCAGATATTTAACTTTTATATTCCATTTATCTGCAGCAGTGAGTAAAAAAAATAGACATCTTTCTTATATTTTCGTGGAAACAAAGGTATCTTGTTGCATACATTGGCGAGGAAAACAAAAGTATCAAATTACAACCGCTCACGTGAAAAGTAAAATTGTCACATTTGCTACAAAATGAACGAAACTCGACATAAAATACCACGATAAATTTAAAACCGTTTAGACCAACGGTAATTGTAAGTTATCTTTGGGCCTCGAAAGAAAACACAAACACGAAACATACACACTGCTAAGATTTTGTCTTATCAAGTTTTTGTCCGCTTATATTCTGCAAGAGGGAAAAGGCCTAGTTGACTACCAATCGAGAGAACGGCATGGGTGAGGACCTGTGTGACTACTGTATCAGAGCCGTAAATTACACTCTGCGCTATCGGAGATTGTCTCACTAGTCTTCAAGCGCGCGAGCGATACATGCTAGCGCAGAGCGCGAGAGCGGCCACAAAGCGGGCCCAAAAAAAATTTGATCTTTCCTCAGCCCTACAAAATAGACTGAAAGAAAAAATTATTGTTAGTTAATGGATTGCAGCAAAAGTCTGCGATTTAAGGAGACGCTGTACTTTGAAGCAGGCTGCCATTTTAGTTCAGCAACTCATTCTGTACTTTTTCTTAATTTTTATATTTATTTCTATTTTTTAGTCCACGAAAGCTGTATATAATCGGATTCTTGATCTGCGGATTGCAACTCCTCAGATTATCATTAACTTTGCTACGTTCTTGGAAGAACATCGCTACTTTGAAGAAGCTTTTAAGGTCAGTTGATGGCAGGATGACCCGCGTCACTCAGGCTTGTTATGTTTATTCCTAGCAGTGATTGATTAATTCTTGTTGTACGCCCTTTGGTTAATGATGTTCTGTGTTATGTTGTTAGGTTTATGAGCGCGGAGTTGCGATGTTCAAATGGCCAAACGTGTTTGACATCTGGAACACCTACCTCACAAAGTTTATTCACAGATATGTAAGTTACAAAACTGCAGTTAGAGTTTATTCATTGCGCCGATAAATCCTGTTTTCTTTATGTAACATTTACATTTAAACATTTCTTTATTGCTTTTCTCAGGGTGGCGGCAAACTCGAGCGAACGAGAGATCTTTTTGAACAAGTTCTCGAGGGCTGTCCGGCTAAATTTGCTAAATGTAAGATTGGTTAATTTTGAATTTTTCTGCTCCTTGATGTTCGTTGCACAGTTAGTTGTTGAACACGTAGGTCGTAGCAATACCCTGTGAAATCTCTCTCTATTTTTCAGCTTTTTATTTAATGTATGCCAAGCTTGAAGAGAATCACGGTCTTGCCCGACACGCTATGGCGATATACGAGAGGTCTACAAAAGCCGTATTGCCTGAAGAGCAGTTTGAAGTATGCCGGTATTCTTTATTCTTTGGTATTCTTTATTCTTGGTATTTGGTATTCTTTATTCTTTGGTGGCACTTATTCTTTGTTTGTTTTTCGTTTTAAAGATAACTATATGGTATTAACCCTGCGTGAGGGCCATACTTAGCTCTTATTAACCGAGCAGGAGGTCTGTATGGGAGAATCTTGACCGAGGTCTGTACACACGACGAGGTCGAATCTCCCATACAGAATGACTTAGCTCGGTTAATAAGATGTTTATTATATGGCAAAGAGGAAAGCTTTAATTTGTTTAATGTAACTGGTTTGCTGACAGTTTGCTTGCAAACGGAGATGAGCTTAACTTAAACCTGCCGAAATTTGCCCGTCCTCTTTACTTTTTTTTTGTCATCAGGCTTTTTGGCACTTCCATAAATGATTGAGAAGAGAATAAAAGAAAACGGTGAACATTTTTGTATTTTAGTTTGCTACTTTTTCAACGCAAAATGAAACCGGTCTAGATGCCGGTCTATAGGTGGGAAAATCTAGACCGCGGTCAACATCGATTTCAGCCAATCAAATTCTTGAATTCGGTAGTTCCCAGTCCTTGTGAGACACAGTCCGCACTGTAAAGACCGTCGAGAACCGATTATTTCTCCAAGTGTATGGTCCGGAGAAAACTCGGTGAAGGATTGATGCACGACTTTATGGTTGAAAAAAGTTGGGAATGGTGTACCTGTAATACGTGAGAAGTTGTACCCAGTCCAAATAAGTAGAAAATATCAGACCGCTAGCAATATAAGTATTTTAAACGACTGATTCTCTCAGCTGTCTTGACTCTTAGTCGTGCGGTAAATTATATCATATCCTTTGTCTAATAAGTTGTTGCGTAGATAAAATCATCAAAATACGTTGAATGGCAAAGTATATTTCCTCATCGGACCTTTGGATACCGTCGTTATATTTTTCAGACAAACGTAGATGGCTAAACTGCTATTTCATGAGTAACCATGTTTATCATGTGTGTATTTTCTATTCTAGGGAGACAGCAACAACTTATATTAGAAAAACGGAATTTCTTTGAGTATCTACATTCTGGTTGAACAAAAAATTCAGTATTTTTATTCTCCTTGTTTGCTCGCGTACATGGATCAACACTGATACCCAAGAAATAAAAAGTCCCTTAAACGTAATAGTTAAAAACAACAACAACAAAACTTTATTCCTTTTTCAATAATTTACATGAATTTTAGGTTAATGAGTTGTGTTACATCTACACTTTATTATTTAAAATAATTAAGTTAGCAACTTAAATATAATGACAGATGAACCCGCAGGTAGTCTAGGCTAATCTAGGCGGGCCTCATCCCCCGGGGGGTGGGGGGTACTCCCTCATATGAGCTATATAGGTATGGGCGGCCCCAAAGGGTATGGTTTATCAGCCGTTTTGGTCATAAATAGGGTATCGATTTTAGCCTATTTTGGCCATTTTGGTCATAAATAGGGTATGGATATGGTTATGTTTTTAAGAAGAAGCCACTTTTTCATCATTATCAAATTAACAAAAGCCCTTCACAAATTATGTTTACGGTAATTTAACCTTGGTCTGAACTAGGGAACTTATTATAA